GATGCGGGGACCAGCAGCCTTCAGAGGAGCTGATGAGGGACATGGGTGGATATGTAGCTCTGCTATACCACCAGGAGACCAGCAGCAATGGGAAAAGGAAGTCGGATTCACAGCAAACTGGTTTCTCAGCTGCACCTGGCATGAAACAACCTGAAACCCAGTATGCAGCCAGCTGAGTGACTGAAAGGTCAGAGGGGAAGGCTGGGATTGCCACTCTGGATTCCAGAACAGCAGAAGCTACAGGACTTAATTCTCCCTTTCAGCAAGGCTCAGCTTAGGTTTTTCCACTGCTAGAGGATGCAACCCAACTCTGGACAGATTGCTCCAATTGTCCTTGAAACACAGAACACCCCAGAACCCACTGAGCCAGATTTACTTAGTTCCATCTTCCAGATCCCTTTGCCTCCCAGGCTGAACAACCTCTTTGGTCATGCTGCTGCCCCTCAGGATGCTGCGCTGCAGACCCAGAGCAGTGGCTTTGCTTGAAGGGGAGAGAAGAGAGCATCGAGCTCTTCATCACCACCCCTCTCACACAGGGGGTCTCAGACTTTCAGCATGAGAAAACTCTTTTGCCTTGCAGCAGCAAGGAAACAGAAGCCAGCAAAGGGCAGGATGTTTCCAGCCGGGATTCAGTGCAGGCCCTTCCCTTTGTGGTCCCTCAGAGCTGAGCTCCCAGCCCTGGCAGCGCCTAGCTCATCAGCACGTGACAGATTCCAGTATTACTATTAAAAGCTCAAGCCTCGGAGCCAGCTCCTCCCCCAGGCCTGAAGATTAACAACAAAAGTCACATTTCTCTGCTTGCTCTCTGTGGTTTTTTGAACTCCTTCATATTTTCGACCACAAAAATCCAGAAACCTCGTGTTTTAGTGGAAAACTCGGGATCTGATAACACAACCCTGGGGGCTGTGTGTAAAACAAGGAGGCTTGCAAGAACTGGCCCCTCCAAAAGCTACAAAGCGCATCCAGAGCAGAGAATGTGACCCCTGCTCTCTGCATGTCCTCAGCATGGAATGTGCGTTTGCTGGCATCTTCTGCTCTGCCTGCGCCTTCTGCATGGGGAGCAGCGAGGATGCTTTGTTGGGAAAGAGAATCCCTAACGCAGGCTTCGTCTGAGTGGTTGGGCATCCCTCACTGAAGGCAATGTGCATACAGAGGTGTCCTGGCTGCAAGCACTGATCTCAGCACACAAAGAAAACATCGGTCTGGACTGGAGGGTGAGGAGATTATAAGGATTAAACAAGATGGAGAGGGATGTTTACAGTTATTATTAGCTTCAAATTCAGCCCAACCGGAGCAGCAAGGCACTGCCCATCTGCTGTCTGACATCGACACAACCTCAGTGGCTTTGCTCCCGTCTGCACCTTCAGTTTGATGGTCTGGTACAACCCCAATGTAAAGCAACACCAGCAACAGCACAGTCTGACACTGGGTACTGAAACTGCCCTGTGAGAAAAGCTTGGAGAGAAGGAAATAGCCTCTTAAATGCGGGAGAGAGGACAGGGAGAGCTCTGCTGGGCAGACAAAAGGCAACCCAGAGTGCTCTTAAGGAAAAACTGAGCAATGGTTATAATTAAGGACACATTAAATCGAGCCGAGTGGTAACACTACATGGGGCGGTCGTGGCTTTTCACACAGTCCAAATTAACTCCCTCGGCATCTGTGTTATAAATTCCCTTATCCGTGTCTGCTCTGTAACATGACAGAGAAATGTTGCTCTGGGCTGCCACAGCAGCAAAGCACATGAGTGAGGGGGATGGAGGATGTGCCAGGAGCTGGCTTTAGGAGATGGGAAGAGGATGAAAGGTTTTCCAAAGGAAATACACACAAATTAAGGGATGGATTTTCCGAGGTCTTTCCTAAGAAATCCTCATCTCAGCAATGGGGCTATTTCCTAGGGAAAGATTTGCTTCTGAAAGGGGAGGATGCTGGGTGCAATCTTGGAGGGCTGCGGAATGTATGTGCAGGGGTTTACATATGTAAACCATTCCTCAGGCACCAATACATCGCTGTTTTCAGCTCATCGTAGTGAACTCCTTCACAACACATAAACACATCCACGTGGGAGCAGGAACCCCCCTCTGCAGCGCCTGCGCTGAGCATCCCTGGAAGCCAGATGCTGCACTGGTGGTGCCTGTGCTGAAGCCACAGTCCAGCCTCATCTCTGCAGCTTCTCAAAGGCAGCTCCCATGTCCCTGCAGTGCTGGTCAGGCCCATTGACAAGGCTGACAGGCCTTGATTGCAATTAGGTTGCAGCTACTCATTGCCCCGGGCCTGTTTTCCATCAGCAGGGACATGTCAGCCTGTGCAGCAGTCAGCCTGATTTTATTGGTGATCCAGGCAAGGCTATGGAGAAGTGAGCATAGCTCCAGAGTAGGATGCAAAAGCACGCCAAAGAATAGGAAATTGAGGCTATGGTGTTTGGGAGAGCACGTGAGGATGGTGCCAGCAGCGGGAAGGGTAATTGGTGTTTTAATTTGGCATCAGTGGGGTGAACCCCTATGCTGATGTTTGCACTGTGGGGGTTGTAAGGGAGGTGAGAGCAGCAGGGGCTCTGCCTGCTGTGTTTGTACCCAGCAGGACAAGGAGCAGCATGAGCCAGGCCCCCAGAGGAGATCCAGTATCCCTGGCTCCAGGAGGGGCCGGCTCGCAGTCCCGCAGCTGCAGCTCCAGGGCTCTTAAGGATGCTCAGAAACCTTCCTTTTAGCTGGCAAAAGCTTCGGGATGGAAGCAGAGCCCCGTGCTGCTGCTCACTGGAGTGGCTCACCTCAGATTGCGCTTCCCACCTCCAGCCTGGTGCTGCTTCCCAGCCAGCGCTGATCCCGGGCATCTGGCACAGATGGGATGTGTGGTGCTGCCGGAGTTGGTCCCATCCACAGCCTCTGGAGGGCCCTTTGCACGGGTGCTGTGACCGACCCCTGTGACATGCGCTGCAGCCAACAGCGGCACAGTGAGATACCGATTCTCTATTTGACATTATACATATTTATAACGCCCTTTCTTCACAGCGTGTTAATTGGGTCATTAACAAAGTGTTAATGACTGTGGGAACTTAAGTCCTAAACATGCCCATAAATCAGAAGCTGATGATCTGAGGCCTGGGCCGGTTGCAGCTCAGCCCCATGGCAGTGGGTGAGTTGAGGTGATCCCTGCTAGCAGAGAGCAGCTCGGCCTTTCCTGCACAGCCATGGGAGCAGAGGGGACTTTTGTCATCCTGGAGACAGGAAACACCTCCCTCACGGCTACTCACTCAGCCAGCATTATGGCAAACGAATGTCAATGAGAGCACATTTGTAGTTACTGGTTTTACTTTCTCCTTAATGAAATGTCAAAGGAAGGGAAAACAGCCGCAAATGTCAGCAATTGGTCTTTTCTCACACAGCCGGTTAGACACAGCCCTTTGCAATTTATTCCGAGGCAGACCTCGGATGGGTTTGACAGAGTGGAAGGAGCTCAGATTTCCATTAGTGATCACCTTTGCACCTGCCCCACATGTGCTAATTTGCTCTAAATGCACTTTGCTATAGACATGAAGGCATCAGAGGGCAGGGGCAGAGCCTCAGGAGCAGGCGCTGCCCTGGCTGGGGGGACGTGGCTCTAATAACTTGATAAAGCAGGGAGCACCCGAGCTCCAGCGGTGCAGAATAACGCTGTCACTGAACCTAGCCTGGGGCTGCCTGTGCCCTTGCTCCAGAGGATTTAGGGATGGCTCCGGGGGCTGTGGATCCAGCTGCGGATCTTTCCCATTGGGATCGTGCAGTAACTGCTCTGGGAAATTGCGATGGAGGAAAGGATGGGAAGGAAGCAGCAGAGCAGCACACGAGTGCAGGGCGAACCAGAGCACGGAGTGATGGATTTAGTACAGAAACGGGAAACTAAATCAGGGCTGTATCCAATACCTGCCCATGGCTTTCTCAGGCTAGTTTGTCAGTGACTTAACTGCAAAGGTATCTGCCTTAACTCATCACGTATTGGCAAGTGGAGAGCCATCCAGAGCTGCTGGGTGGGAGCGGAGCTTCATCAGCGATTTAGGGGGATGTTTGAGCTTGTGCTTAAACCTCAGCCTTCAGTTAGGTCTGAGCATGTGCTTCAGGCACAGATGCTTACATGAGTTCCTGCAGGGATGATCTGTGCGTGTGCTTAAATGTGCACCTGACACTGCGGGGTTTCTGGTGTTTCCTTAGAGACCCGCTCCATGCGGGCAGTGTTCAGGGGGTTCCTGCTTCCAAGTTTCAGTCCCCGTTCCCAGCTCACCCCCTGCGTGCTCATGTTTAAACCAGGCACTGAGTGCAGGTACTGGTGGCACCTATTTTAGATACGTCCTGGTTTAGATGGGGCTTTTTGGAAGAGGAATTCTGCTCAAGCCTTCCAGCACCGCCTGTGTGCTCGGAGGGGAACCGGTTCTGTTGGTGACTTCAGTTTGCTGGCCCCTGGCCATAACCGTGAGGGGGAACGTTAACATTTAACTAAAAAGGCATTTTCAATTCCACAAATGTTTCTGTGGATAATAGGCTTTGTAAGGCATTATTGCACAAATCCCGAATACGGGGTTTAACCTCCTGCTTATTATCCCTTTAATTTTGGAAAGCCTTTCAGGGCTTTAATCTTCCATGCAATTATGTTCAGGCTGAGTTAAGGGCACGCTGGTGGCCGCGGCGACACGAGCTTTATCAAATGTGATATTTTAATATCACTTCGCTTTTTCTCGGGGCGGGTGTTGGGGGGGGCGGCAATCAAACACCTTTTGGGGTAAATTCAACTCTTTTGGTGTTTCCTGCTCTGAATCTAGGTGGGACCCCCATGGGAAAGGTGTGTTTGCACTGGGGGGGGTGGCTGCTGCTCTCTATGGACCTGCTCTCGGAGACCCCCTCTCCCCAGGCCCTGCCGGGTCCCGGGATCGTCCCGCGGGTCGATGGGGCGTGGCTTCATGACGTCAGTTCATTTGCATACAGGCCCCGCCCCCGGACGCGGTCAGCGCTGGCGCCGCAGGAAAGTTTGCGGCGGGGCCGGGATGGACGCGCTCAAGTCCGCGGGTCGCGCCCTGCTCCGCAGCCCCAGCGTGCACAAACCCTCCTGGGCCAGCGGCCGGCACAAGAGTGAGACCCGCACCCCCTGCGCGCCCCCCGACACCGCTTTTCTCCCTGCTCCAGTTTCCCCTCTCCTCGCTCCCTTTTCGCGCTGCTTTGCCCCGTCCGCTCTCCTGCCCCCCCTTTCTGCTTCAGCCCTGCCCCGCACCTCTCTCTTCGCCCCTTCCGTTGCCCGCTTTGCTCCCACGCTTTTGCTCCCTTTCTCCCTTACCCGCCGGGCTCTCCCTGTTCCTGCCGGGGGGGTTCGTTCCCATTCCCGTGGCCTCGTCCCTCTTCTGGCTCCGTCCCACGATCGATGGCCCCTGGGCGGCCGCTCGGGTCCCCTGTGGCCGGGGAAGGGGGGGGCCCAGCGCGGCTGAGCCTGACCGGCCCGCGGGCGAGGTCAAGCTTCTGCGTGTTGCTGATGTGGTGAGACCGAGCCGGCCCCGCTGCGCCCTTTCGCTGGGATTAAGGGCCTGCGGGAGGCGAGGAGGGGCCGAGCTGCACATGTGGGGTGCTGCGCTGTGGGGCTCTGCGGGACACAGCAGCCCCGATCCCGCTATGGGGTGACCTTGCAAACCGCCCCGTGCCCTTTGCTGCGCAGGGCATCGCACGGGATGGATGCGCCCTTGGCCTGGCTGCAGTCACTTGGTTAATGGGAGGACAGTGAGGTGGTGGTGGATGGTGTAGAATGGGACGTGTGAAGGAGTGTCTGTGTCTGCCTTCTGCTGCCTTGGGTGCTCCTTCCTGACTGAAAGCAGCACTTAAACCACCCAGTTTTGTCCTGTGCCAGTGTGATCTGTGGGTGGCATCATCCTGAGCAGTGTGGGATGCTCACAGGGTCCCCATTCTCAGCAAGGCCTGGAGCTGCCCTGCGCAGGATCCAGGAGCAGTGCCTGGTGGGTCCATCACCTGGCTGCTCACTGGTGCTCTCTGGTTCTAGCTGGGATGCGAGGTGAACGCAGCATCCCTCCTGTCCTTGGGTTTTCCTTCCCACCTCCTTGTTTAGCACCCATGTGTCGGGCACGGAGCCCTCCCGCAAGCCCTTGTCTCCCCGCGGGACCGCTCCCAGTTTGACTTCCAGCCGCGGCCGTTCCCGGCGCTGGGAGTGGTGCTGGGTTCGTGGCTGCTCGTCCCGGAGCTGAGTCACCGGTCACCCCGGGGTGCGGCCGCCCCGGGTCCATGGGGAGCTGCAGTTCGGCCCCGCTGCACTGAGGCGGCCAAAGGGGATGGAGCATAAAGGGGGAAGCCTTCAGGGACCTGTTTTGTCTGCTCTCTTGGAGCCCCGCTGCTCCCCAGGGCTGGGAGGCACCTTGGGAGGGCTCTGGTTTGTTGCCACATGCTCAAAGCAGGATCCTCCTTAAGCACGAGAGTGGCAGATCCTGGGTGTCAGCTCCATGGCTGGAAGTCAGCTCCTCTGAAACACCCACGTGGCTTTCAGTTTGGTCCCAAACTAATCTGTGTGTTTAGAACCATTCTTCCCACCACCCCCCCCAGCACTAAAGGAAGAGCCTGGAGGCCTCCTTGGTGGTTTACAGGGGAGAGCAAAGACTTCCCTGAGGTTTCACCCCTGCAGTGGCTCCGTGGGGCTGCTGGTGACTGATTTAGCAAGTCTGAGCACATCACCGGGATACCTGCGGCTGCACATGGGCTCAGCCAGCGGCAAATCCCGGCTTAGCCCTGGTGGGTAGCACAGGGTAAGGTTATCCCCGTGATAGGTGGCACAGGGTAAGGTTATCCCTGTGATAGGTGGCACAGGGTAAGGTTATCCCCGTGATAGGTAGCACAGGGTGAGGTTATCCCCGTGATAGGTAACACAGGGTGAGGTTATCCCTGTGATAGGTAACACAGGGGAAGGTTATCCCCGTGATAGGTAACACAGGGGAAGGTTATCCCCATGATGGGTAACCCAGGGTAAGGTTATCCCTGTGATAGGTGGCACAGGGTGAGGTTATCCCTGTGATAGGTAGCACAGGGTAAGGTTATCCCCATGATGGGTAACCCAGAGTAAGGTTATCCCTGTGATAGGTGGCACAGGGTGAGGTTATCCCCGTGATAGGTGGCACAGGGTGAGGTTATCCCCGTGATAGGTAACACAGGGTAAGGTTATCCCTGTGATAGGTGGCACAGGGTGAGGTTATCCCTGTGATAGGTGGCACAGGGTGAGGTTATCCCTGTGATAGGTGGCACAGGGTGAGGTTATCCCCATAATTTGTAGCACAGGATAAGGTTATCCCTGTGATAGGTAGCAATCATTGATAAGGTTATCCCTGTGATAGGTAGCAATCATTGATAAGGTTATCCCTGTGATTGGTAGCAATCATTGGTAAGGTTATCCCCATGATAAGGCAGCCCTGGCTCCTTCCCTGTGTGTGGCTGGGGCTGATGCTCAGGATCAGGTTATGGTGTGGGCCTGGGCACTCACACTTAAGCTGAGGAGCTGATGGATCTTAAAGGGTTGCTGCTGTTTGCTGCAGCTTATGGCTGATGCGTGCTGTCACCTCTTCTGACAGCCCCATCTCCCTCCAGCACCTTGCACGCTGCAGGAGACCAGGCAGTAGCTAAACCAACACCCTGCTCATACCAAAACCCTCCCTCAGGGCATCACAGAGGTACCTTGGGGTGCTGGAATCCAAGAGCCTCTTTGTTGTCTCTCTAGAGCTCCCAGAGAACTGGACCGATACCCGTGAGACGCTGCTGGAGGGGATGCTCTTCAGCCTCAAGTACATGGGCATGACCCTGGTGGAGCAGCCCAAGGGGGAAGAGCTCTCTGCAGCAGCCGTCAAAAGGATCGTCGCTACCGTGAGTACCCTTTCTCCTGGTGTTCAAACCAACCTGCCACTGGGGGGGGAGAGCATCAGAAGCCACAGGTCTGGAGACAAAAGTGCTGTCCATCTGCAGGTCCAGCCCCTCCAGTGGTGAGCAGGCTCCTGGTGGTGTAGGTAGAGCTGTGGGCACTGGCACTGGGGAGCCTGCCCATGGGGCAGGCTGTGGAAAGCTGTTGTTGTACCTCTGAGCTCTGGCCTCCCTTGATAAGCTCGGGTGACCCTGGGTGTCGAAGAAGCCTCTGACCCAGTAACATCAGCCTTCCCCAAGGCTGTATCTCCTCTTGCAAGGCAGGGACAGCATTTGGATGTGGCTAAGAGCTGGCAGGCAGTTCTGGCTTCTCCTTCCTGGGATTTGGAGGGTTAAGGGGAGCAGGAGTTTGCCCCTATTCGCAGCTAATACCACTCATCCCACTGTAACTCGGAGGTTACCACCATCCTCTAGCATGGAGCCTCCCTGGAGCCCCTGCTCACAAGTGAAATTAACACTTCCTTAAGCCCTCATAAAAGGGAATGAGGCAGAGCCCCAGTTGTACAGTTAACCGTTGTAAAGTCAATGGGGTGTCCAACTGCGCTGGGTAATGGCTGATCCGTGCCTGGCATGTGCTGAGCTGGACAGAGGGAAGTGCTCGCATGGAACGGGAGCTGCTGGCAGAGCCCTTCACATCTGCTCTGAGCAGCCAAGGCCAGAGCCTTGAAATGAAACCCCTGGGGCTGAGGCCACTGGAGGGGCAGGTCTGACCCCACAGCTCACATGAGGTCCCTGGGCAGCGGGGCTGAGGACCCGCTTCTATCAGTGTTAAAGGTCTGGGACTTTCCCCTCCCTCTTCTCCTTCAAAGGCAAAAGCAAGCGGAAAGAAACTGCAGAAAGTGACTCTGAAAGTGTCCCCCCGAGGGATCGTGTTAAACGACAGCAGAACGAACGAGCTGATCGAGAACGTCTCCATATACAGGTGGGTTATGGGCTGCACGTCAGTGGGGGCACACCCCGTCTGCACCCAGGCTGAGCTGGCACCGCAGTGGCCATCACGTCTGATGGGAAGCAGAAGGTGGGGAAGGAGGGTGGTGGTTAAATTGAAGGTAAATTTACATCACCTGCAGTTAGGATAGCTGTTGGGAGCCTGGAGGTGTGTGTGGACTGCAGATCCTCAGCCAGGTGCTTCATGGCCACGTGTGACTTCACAACCTGTTTGTGGCTATAGCAATGACCAAACGTGGGGTGAGTGGAGGGGCTGGTGAGAGCATCTCTGAGTGGGGAAGGACACAAGCAGCAGAGCCTGGGCTGCCCTCCCCTTGCTGGCTGCTCCGCACTTTTGATGGAGTTAAACAGCTCTGGCAAAGAGCAGGGCTGGGACAGCAGTGGGGACCCAGTACCAGCATGGGGAAAGCGAGGATGGGTTACCCCATATCCACTCCTCGGGCTTTAACAAGTATTTCATCCAAAGAGATTGGAGGCAGACAAAGTCCTGGTGCAACAGAGCTCAGCTTCGGTCCTGCCCTTTTCATCCTCTCTGTCCCTCTACATCCCACACTCTGCTTCTGTCCTTCTCCTGCTGCTCTGCCCCCCCTTTGCTAAAGGTGGGGTGGGGAGCACTGGGTCAGGGTGCTCTCTGTAACCAGGCTACTAACCTGCTTGCTTTCCTCTTAGTTCAGACTGAGCAGTGTGCACAGACAGAGCTGTGGTGCTGAGCCCCAGCCCTCCCCAGGAGAGGAACTGCTAAGGAGCAGAGCCAGGATGGGGTCCCTGTGCTGGGTAGCAGCAGGCAGAGCCATGGGGCTGCTGCTTCAGTTCCCCCCATACACTGTTAACAGCCATTGGTAAAGCTGCTCCCCCCCGGTCCTTGCTCACCTACAAGCACCCCCTGCTTGAGCTGCCTGAGGTCAGCGCATCCTCAGCAGGCTGCTGGTGTGGGACTGGTGCTGCAGGAGCAGGGGCCACAGCAGGCACTGGTGTGTGTGTGGCCCCACTCTGTGAGCGTGCTCCATCTGTGGCAGACCCAGGGCTTCCCTCTGACACCTCGGGTCTGCTCTTGGGGTTCTCTGTGCACCGGGATGATGCTGGCTCTCATCATGTGCTGGGGCAGGACACAGGGGCCATGGCTGAGCCACAGCCACTGGGAGGCATCGGTTATAACACCAGCAGGGGTGGGTGTGAGTGACTCTTTCCCTGGGAATCAATGGCCATCAGCTGTGGAGCTGGTGCTGGGGGTTTGCCATCTCTGCTCAGCGACCTTCTGCCCCTTTGTCATCATGGTTAACAGTGGCCAAGCTGTTTTGTGGGGAAATGGGAGAAAGGGGTAAACTTCTGGGGACCTCTTTAATGCAGAGCAGGGCTCAGCGCTGGGAACCAACACGCAGGCCATTGAGCAGAGGCATCCTCACATGCAACAAGAAACTAATGCAGCACAATGCGATTTGAGTGTGGCTTTCTGGAAGTCATCTGCTGGGAACCAGGACCTTCCTGTCCCCTCCCTGCAACCTCTGAGGGCGGCGCAGGGCCATGGGAAAGCTTTCACCCAAGTGTCCCTCTTTCTCCTCAGGTTTTCTTTCCTTAACCCCCATTTGCTCTGTTGTGTGCCCAGGGCAGAGGCTTTGCTCGCTGCTCATGCCTACTGCCTTGCACTAAACCTCCGGGGCTGCTCCAGCCTCTGCTCGCTGCCTTCAGACGAGATGCTCAGTGCTGCAGCTCCTGGCACGGATGAGCCCATGGGAGATGGTGGTGGCTGATGCTGAGGGACCTGCTCGCCTGCAGCAGGGAGCTGAGCCTCAGTCACAGCCTGGGCTCCCCAGACAGGTCAGCCTCTTGCTCTGCCGGAGCCTTGGTCAGCATTTGGAGTCAGCCCTGCTGAGATGCGGCCATCCCAGGGAGGCTGAGCCTCCTTCCCATGTCCCCTGTGCTCAGGGGTCTCAGAACATCCTGTACCTCTGCTGCTGTGGCTCTTGGAGCCTGAATTTCAGCTTTTCTTGAGCACCTCTGCATCAGTTTGAGATGAAGTCCTAGGCTGAGGGCAAGTCCTCCTCTCTCCTTGCCAGCTCATCCTCCAAAGCAAATCTGTGAGTGTCTCTTGTGGAGGCAGCACATTCATCAGGCATGGTCCCAGGTGGGATGCTCCAGAGCCTTCCCCTTCTCTAACCTGCCCTTCCCCACAGGGTCAAGCACTTTCTCTTCTCTCCTGCCTCTGTGCACAGTGCCCGTGGTTCACACCATGGCTGCCAGAGCTGCGCTGCACTTCCCTTATGTTCACACCAGTGGCATCCGCTCCTCTGCTTTGGGAAGCAGTTGCCTCGAAGCCTGTTAATGCTCCTGTGCTCCCTCTGCCTTCCCTGCTTGGCCTTGGTGCTGAAGCCCTGGCAGACGAGAGGTGAGGTTGTTGATCTCCCCGGACAAGACGTTTCATTCTGTCTTTCAGGATATCCTACTGCACGGCAGACAAGACCCACGATAAAGTGTTTGCCTACATTGCCCAGAACCAGCTCAATGAGAACCTGGAGTGCCATGCCTTCCTCTGTACCAAACGGAAAATGGTCAGTCCAGAGGAAGAAATGGGGATGTGGCTGTAGGAGGAGGAAGCAGAGAGGGTCTGTGCCGGTGAGATAACAGCTCTGCCCCTAGAGAGAGTGAGGGGGCCCTGCCATGGGGGTGCACCCCCTCCTGCTGCTCACAGATCCTGGCAGTGCTGCCTGCCCATTGCTATCAAGCAGGCAGAACTGGATTCAGCCAAGGTCTAGGGTAAGGGTGGGAGGACCTGGTCCTGCACCCACCTGAGCCCTGCTGTGTGCTGTGGTCCCGCCTGATGGCACCCTTCCCTGTTCACATCCACCTCCCCAGGCTGCCAGAGAGGCTTTGGCAGGCAGGAGGTCTCTGGGGAGCTGGCAGCAAGTGCCTGGGGTGGCCTTGCTGATGGGAAGTGCATAGCCAGTGGTGCTGGGCTCGCTGCCCTGGCTCCCGTCCAGTGCTTCCCATTCAAGGTCCTCGTCTGATTTTTAGCATCCTCTCTATAGACCAGAGCCATGTGCTCCCCATGGGAGCAGCACAGGAGATGCCACTGCATGCTGAGGATGGGGGTCAGGGCAGAGACCTGTGCATAGGAACAGTCTCTGGCTCTTGCTTTGAACCTGCTCAGGGGACTTTTTCCTGCTAATTCAGTACATCAGGATGGGCAGAGACCCACACCACTGAGCTAGAGAGGGAGAGGCGTGGGTCACTGCTGCAAGTGGGGCCCTCTCCAGTGGAGCCAGAGCTGGGGCTGAGCCCCATAGCAGGAGGGGACTTCAGGGGAGTGGAAGGGCAGGTCAGCCCCATCTGCCCACAGTTATCCTTCCTCTGCTGCCTGTTGTGAGGCCCAGCTGGAGGATGGGATCTCCTGAATCCACTGGGAAACAAACTGGAGTGCCTGTGCATCCCAGCGTGCTGATTCCTGGGTCCTTATGAGCGTTCCTGTGCCCAGCTCTTAGTATTCTGCACTTCTCCCAACTCCTTGGTTTTTTTCCTGGGGGAGAGAATAACAGGAGCCACAAGTTGTCTCCTTTCCCATCCATGCAGGCAGAGATAAGCCTCGTTCTGCAAATTAGAATCCACATCTCTCCAGTGCTAAAAGCCTTATCTCAGCGCTCCATCACCTCTGAGCATCTCCCTCCCAGCGCACTTCTCCATGGCTTTTTGTGGCAAAAGCTAGATTGGATTGATTGCTTGCAGCTTGTCTGTAAAACACACGTGAGGTGATGCCCTGCTCCTGGGGCAGGTCCCTGGATGGGCACACGGCTTCCAGGCTCCGGTGTGTAATCAGTCCGTATTTTTAGTCCTTGGGTAATTCTCAGCTATTAAACTTGATTCAGATGTGACAGCTTAAACTGTAAACAGCTGTGAGGAGTTCCATACTTAATTATGTATTTAAGGTTCTGCCATAAAGCATTTGCACTCCATCAAGGATGTAAATAGCTCCAGCACTGGATGAGCTCTCCTGCTTGACTGGGCTGGCACCACCGGCTCTCCTCACCCATCCACAGCTCCATCCTCTGGATCCAGGGCTGCAGGCTCCAGCCCCAGCTCTGCCTTCGCTTAGTTTGTGACTTGGTAAAACTGGAGGCTGCTGCACCAGCCTCGCAGGGTGCTCCTGGTTACCCCTTTGTGCTTCAGCTGCCTCCTCCCGACGGAACTGCCTTTTGTGCCCCATTCACGCACCTCCAGCCGCTCGGGCTGGTTAAGGTGGAGGGGTTTTAAGTGCTCCTCAGGCTGTTGGCATGGGGAGGGATGCAGGGACTGAAGGGGAAGGTGCTCCTGCTCAGCCCTGGCTGTTGCCAAGCCAACCCATGCTGGTGGTCCAAGCCATGGAGACCCCAGCTCAACTCAGGAGAGCCAGGGGAAGACCCTGGGGTCTCTCTTGTCCTGTCCCATTACACCTAAAGATGTCTGCAACAAGCTGTGTGTCCTACACGGAGCAAGTCTCTGCTTTCATCCGCATTCGTTTACCCCTCCCCAGTCAGGAGGGGAGCCCATGGAGCTGAGGCTGGATCCAGGTTTTAACATGAATCTGCAAAGCAAGACTGAGCCCCACATGAGGAGCTGTGGGTTAATGCTGGCTTTCTCACCCCTGTCTTCCCAGGCACAAGCAGTGACCCTCACCGTGGCCCAGGCCTTCAAAATCGCGTTTGAGTTCTGGCAGGCAGCGAAGGAAGGTGAGGCTTCTCCCCTCTTCCCATTCTTTATGTGAAAGCTCAAGGGATGACTTTGGGTTTTTCCCCAGCTTTCAAGTGTCTTTTCCCCTCGCCCTCCAAATTCCCAGGCTGCTGTTAAGGTTGAGCCCATCTCTGGTGTGATTTAAGGCATCTTCCACGTTTCTCTTGGCAGCCTTATAAATCCAGCCAGGTTTTGGCTGTGCTCCTCTCTTGCAGGCGGAGAGTGAAGGTCTCTGGTACCCAGAGCCCTGCCACTGGCAGGATTTTTGCTTTCATCTTCAATGAGATGATAAAAGGCACCCAAAGCCTGGGCTGCTGTGGGCAGTGGGGACCTGGTGGTCCATCCCCACTGTCCATCTTCCCTCAAGACTGGTGGGGCACCCCTGTGCAGGCAGTGATGGGGTCTCCTTGTTTTGCAGAGAAAGAGAAGCGGGAAAGGTTGGAAGGAGAAGGGACAAGCAGCCCCAGCTCGGGAGCCCCTGCCCACCCTGACACACGTAAGTCACCAACAGCAGAGCTTTGCTTTAGGCTTGGGGACGAGGAACAGCCTGAGGCTGTGGGGTTTGCCTTGAGCAGGGCATGCTCCTGGGAGGGTTTGGTGACCAGCAAGGAGCAGACACTCCTGTCATAGCAGGGATGCTGCCCTCAGCAGAGTCCTTCCACCCCCAGGTATATCTCATGCAGCCCCTTCTACACAGCTGCTGCCACCCCAAGTCTGGTTGCTTCTGCCCCACGCATATTGGCTGTAATGTCCTTATGAGCTTAGCATGGACCCCCACATCCCAAGTTTGGTTTTGGGTTTGTCTTGGACCCAAAACACTTGCCATCCCATTGGCTGAGGGAGATGGACATCCAGATGCCGCTCTGCCTCTGGCTTCCCTAAGGAAAACAAAGAAACATAAACCTGCTCATCATTCAGTGCCATGGGTCCTCTGCTGCCTCTGAAATGCAAGATGCATGGCCGGGGAGAAATGGGACAAAAGCCTAATTTCTCTTCCATGCTGGCCATGGAGACTTGGCACAGCAGAAAATAGCATTAAACTGGGCTTCCTTGCAGGATGGCACATCTCGTTTCTTCCTGAAAAGGCTCAGGACTGGAGGAATCTATCACAAACAGTGGCACATTGGGATGAGCGAGGCCCAGGGCTGCCATAGGTATAGGAAGGGGCTCCAGGCTCTGCCTGGGGGATGCTCCACAGCTGGGGCCCTTTTGATCCACTGATACCGCAGGGTGATGAGGAGGATTTGAGGCTTCCCTGAAACAGGCAGCCTGTGGTGCACCAGCAGCCTCCAGGCTGGGAACTGTTCTTCACCCAGGGCAGGGTTTGTCCTCAGTCCTATAAAACGAAGCATCTTTTATAAGGTGCTGAACCGTGCGCAGTGCGCTGAGCTGAGGAGAGCACCCAGGGCTGTTCCCACACTGGCATTGGGATGTCACAGTATCACAGTATCACAGTATGTTAGAGATTGGAAGGGACCTCAAAAGCTCATCCAGTCCAATCCCCCTGCCGGAGCAGGAACACCTGGATAAGGTTACACAGGAACGTGTCCAGGTGGGCTTTGAATGTCTCCAGAGAAGGAGCCTCCACAACCTCCCTGGGCAGCCTGTTCCAGTGTTCCGTCACCCTCACTGAGAAGAAGTTTCTTCTCAGGTTTAAGTGGAACCTCTTGTGTTCCAGTTTGTACCCATTGCCCCTTGTCCTGTCATTGTTTGCCACTGAGAAGAGCCTGGCTCCATCCTCGTGACACTCCCCCTTTATATATTTATATACACTAATAAGGTCACCCCTCAATCTCCTCTTCTCCAAACTATAGAGACCCAGCTCCCTCAGTCTTTCCTCATAAGGGAGATGCTCCACTCCCTTCATCATCTTAGTTGCCCTGCGCTGGACTCTCTCCAGCAGGTCCCTGTCCTTCTTGAACTGAGGGGCCCAGAACTGGACACAATATTCCAGATGAGGTCTCACCAGGGCAGAGTAGAGGGGAAGGAGGACCTCTCTCGACCTACTAACCACCCCCAGCTCTGCCTGGGGCTGATCCTGACTCATCCTGAGCATAAGCAGATACCTGGAAGCCCCCCTGATGGTTGCTGGAGGGATGAGCAGGCTGTCCCCCTGCTGTGTCCCTGTCAAGAGGTGCCTGAGCTGAGCATCAGTAATAATTCAGGCTGAAACCACAGCAAATGCAGCTCCTCCATGCTAAAATCTGGGGCCATCCTGAAGGGATTTGATGCAACCGTTTGGTTCCCTTCTAGAGGGGAAGCGCTTCCTGCAAAAAGACTTGGTTTCCTGGCATCTCTGCTCTCCTCTCCCCCATCTCATTCCTCCTCCCCTCTGCTCACAGCAGCAGCCACGGGGAACTTGCTGGATTTAGAAGCTCCTGCCAAATCACCCATGACCAGCAGCACAAACTCCCCACACCTGGATAACAGCATGTTCGGGCCCAGCTCCTCTGTGAACAACAACATGGTGTGGGTAAGTGCATGCCCGGGGGTGCCATGCCACCTCCGTGTCCTTTGCTCCAGGTCCCATCATGGGGATGCTTCTTGGATGAGGCACCCATGGGTGCAGGCAGTGCAGGGCTGCCCCAGTGAGCTGGGTTTGGTGTCCTTGAGGCGATCGATCAGTGTTCAAGCACCTCCTGCCTTTCTGAGGCTCTGTAGATAAATGAGCTCGCCGGGCACCCGGAGCAATGCCACTGCAGGTGAGTGAGCATTCCTTATCCTCACGCAGCAGTTCTCAGGGGTTTTGGTACTTAATTGAGAGACCACCCGACTGCTCTGTGCAGGGGAAGAGTCGTGATGTTGATGGCTTTTGTTTCATTAGAACCAGGTTAGATTTATGGTCATTGTTGCTCTTGTTTTCCCCTTGTTCTTGGTTGTGGCTGTATCTGGCTTATGTGAGCATGATGGCTTCTCTGAAGTGTTCCCAATAATCTGCCTTAATTGTTTCATGGACCACCACCAATGCAGCCCATGTGCCCATCACCAGCCAGGCTGGGGCTGATCTTTGCATGAGGGACCTCATCCTGGCCACGTTTCCCAATCTGGAAACAAGCTGAATGTTGCTAAGATTGTGGAGAATTGGATGCTAAATGCCTTTGCCTGAAGCCTGTTTCTTGAGTGTGGCAGGGCTGAGCCTGAGGCTTTTCAGGTTAAGCCTAAAGATCCACTTAAGTCATATCAAATCCTGGAGGCTTATCAGTGCTCTGCAGTCCCTCCCCTATCGCAGAGTTTCATACTTTACATATTACATTAAGTCTATGAGTGCATTACATGATTTGGGGAATAGTCAAGTCTGTCCATAGCAAAGCCCTTGCACTGCATGGGAAACCTTTCTCCTGCAAGCAATTCAAATGCTTAAGAGCAGATCAGAGATAAAGAATCCAAGAGCTGCTTTCAAGCAGTGAAGGTTCCTCCTGTGCTGATGCAGAGTTGCTTTCTGGGTTCCTGATCCCGATAAGCCCCAGGGGATGCCTGGAGTGTGTTGCTGAGCTCCATCCAGGTCCCTCCCTCTAGCAGCACATACCAGTCTCATACTGAGGGCTGTGGTTAACCCCAGAGCGGGATGTGGTCCAGCTGACAGGCCAGATCCAGCCCATGCAGGCAGTGGGACAGAATTAGCCTGCTTTGGAGATGGTGGGAAAAGGCCAAGTGCCTGCCCCATCCCTGGGCTGTGAAAGGAGTGGTGCACCCCTGACCTGAGCCTTGGGATCTGCTCTGAGGAAGCCTGGACCACCTGGAGATACATCTCTTACCCTGGGGCTTGTACAGAGAGTGAGATAAAACCTGCCCCAGGAGGCAGATTGCTGAGAGGGCTGCTGCTTTAGGCACTCAGAAGTCAGTTTATACATATATATAGATATATACTTCTTTTCTGCTCTGCTCAAGTGTGGAGCCAGATCCCTAAATACACTTTTGTGCGTTCTCTTAGCAACTACTTCTCTCTCTTTTTATCTCTTTAACAAAGGAAATGGATGATGGTCTCGACGAGGCATTTTCAAGGTAATTCTAATAACTCCCTTTACAAGTTCAAGCCACTGGGGACCAGCCCAGGAGACTGGAGTAGTGACTGGCTTTTAATAATGCTTCTAATCTAATCAGCTGCTGTGATCTGACCTGGGCAGCTGCCCCATCGATGCCTCAGCTGTTAATTGAAAGGCAGGCTTTGAGGCTGCCTCACAAGCCAAATATTTTGACAACCTGCTAAGGATGGAGGGAGGCAGTGTGTGATGGGGAATTCAATTGCCCAAGCAGTCAGTTTGTTGGGCTTGCTGGAGTGGTTTGAGGCTGCAGCGATGCTGGCCCAAGCTCCTGGCCCCGGGGAGCTTTATCCTTCCTACCTTGTTCCCATCTGTTCCCAACCTGCAGCAGCTGCTGAGGGCAGCCTCCCTGCTCCACTGGCCCTTGTTTGCAGCGTGGTTGCATCAGGGTGAGTCTGATGCACCAGTTTTGAATTCGTGCACCTGAGCACAGAGCTTGTGGCCATAGCTTCATGTGCCTTAGTGCGCTTCTCAATCCAAGTGAAGAGCTTCCCTGCACACACATGCCCACCAGTGTTAAACAAACCCATTTTCTTCCAGGTGAGTTTCCCTGTGTGTGTGCTTGTGCAGGCAGCCCCTGCAGGGTGATGGGGATGCTTTAGGGTACAGGGGTCCCAGCCTCCAGCTCTGGGCATGAAGCCACCCAACTGGGTGCTGCAGAAGCCCCAGTTTGGGCAATGAGCTGCCTTGGATGCAGCTGGTGCAGGCAGCAAAGAGCTCCCAGGCTCCTGCTCCAACTGGGACATCCCGGAAGAGGGAGCTGAGCCCAAGGCTGTCACCTCCCCAAGAGCCGCTCGCCTCCACCCAGGTTTACAGCAGTGCAAAAACTGCACGCTCAGCCCTAAGGAAGCAGACCTTCGTGCCTTGTTTGGCGCTCAGGAATGAGTTACAGCTTCCACTTCCACAGTGGCCCTGTCCCAAGTTGTATTCGATAAAGGGGCTGCTTGAATTTACATCTTAGTGTCATCTGTTTTCCTCACCTCTGTTCCTTGCCCTACTTAATGAAGCAGATGTTGTTGGCTGTGGTGTTCTGGTTTGCCTTGCTGGGTGCTGACAGTCACATCAGCCTTGGCCTTGTGGTGACTCAGTGTTTGGGTTGCTCATCCACTGGGGCGAGTGCTTCTCAAAGCGCTCCTGCCACAGCATCATCGCTGGACTCTTCTTTATTAAGAGATGTGTTCAGGCTGAGGCCATGCCTCCCTGGATGAAGCACCAAATACTTGAGTTAACCTTTGGCCCTGGGAGAATTGATGCTGCAGTGGTACATTTTCACAGAGGTATTTAATAACACAGCAATAAATGGGGGCTTGTTAGCTTTTGCGAAACATCTCGTGATTCTATGATCGGGGATGTGCTGACATGACCTCTTGAAGCTGATCCTGTGGGTACTAAACATCATCTGAGTCCTGCTGTGTCTTAACCCACGCTGTTAAATGCTCAGGCCAGGGAGCACAGTCTGTGTATGCACACACTACTGTGAAAACTCATCTGTGGTCAGCAGAGCCCTGCACTGAGCTCAAACCCAGCTAAGGATGCACCCGCCAACAAGAGCCCAGGGGAGGAGAGCGGCACCGTTCTGCCAGACCATTAATACCTGGGATGTCCAGGCTGTAAATTCCCTGGATGCCCATAGGGGAAATGTTAGGGTAAACCAGCAGCAAATGTTATGTGCCAGCTCTCCCCTTACTGAATTATTTCCTCCACTGGAGGATTTTGAAATGTGGAACTGCAGCTGGGGTTCAGCATTATGGATGCAGCAAGCATCCAGGCTATGAACTGCACAGATTTGTGTCCTTACTTTCTGTTTTTCTTCCCTGTTAGACTGGCTCAGTCGAGAACAAACCCTCACGTCCTTGACACAGGACTGACAGCTCAAGACATCCAGAGTGCAGAAACGCTCTCGCCAGTAGACTGGAACAAAATAGATTCCAACACAGGCGAGAAAGATGATCTGTTCATGTTTTGAGGTCAGAGGCATCCAAGAGCTGACAAGAGAATAACCACTAAAAGTCTGTGGACTGAATCATGCTGATCCAGGTGCTGTATGCAAGGGACTCTTCTGAGGGCTTTTCACCAAGTCAGGTGATGTTACAGCACAGTTTAGACCAAAGCTTTAGGAATCTAATGCAGATTTTTGTACTTTGCTTTTATCTAAACCACAAGATGCTCTTGAACATATTTATTCATAACCGTTACAGTTTACATATACTATTGGAAGGCGTGTAGAGCATCTACAGTATTACATGGCAATATGCCATGGAAGAACCTTCAGCAGTGCCTGTTCCTCTCTGAAAAAGGACTATGCAACACCAAAGTCTCCCTGTAGATACTTTTCTAGACAAAGATCTGCAGATGCAAATGCAATTGCAAGCACAACTGTTACTAATCCACTGTTTTGGAACACAGCGCCTGCCTAGGCGGAGCGGAGGAGATTTGCAGCAGCTGCTGGCAGTGTTAAAATCAAAGAGGTAGCAGAGATCTTGCTTTTGTTATGAATGTCTGTGATACTCTCACAGTTGTCAATCACCCTTATGAGTTCTGGCTGTTTCTTTGCCAGCTTTGGATGGGAATTGACACTTTTTTACCCAAAGACTCTATGAAGTTTTGCACTTTAAAACTTGAACTGAAAGCAGTGGTCCGAGCTGTCGAGGTAAGCAGTGCCTGTAACTTCTCTTCAGAAGCTATTAACCCCCAGAAACCCATCCCAGCAATGCTGCAGATCTGTTTCAGAACTGACTGCTCACGTGCACCGTTTCTGATGCAACTCAAACACTAAGGCTCCATTGCACTGTTGGCTTGAAAACCAGAACCACCGGGGAGCAACAATTTGTTTTGCTGAAGTGTGTTGAAAGCCGCAGGTTGGGTGAACCCAGTAGCACAATAGATCTGTGTTCTTAGCCCTGCTAAGTGGATTTGGCTGTGCATGCCTTTTTACTGTCTCAGAACCATTTGGTTGTTGCTCACTCAATAGACTGAAATAGAATTGGATTAGGCAAGGCCAATACCTGGATGTTCACTCGGCAAGAGGTGCCCCTTCCAGCAGTGCTCTGATCCATGTCTCCCGCCAGGCTTGGGAAGCTGTCTTCATCTGCTCCTGGAGTTGAAAATAAGTAATGGAGGTATAAAGCTTATGCTAATTAAAAGATTAAGTTTAATGATCCTAAATAGTCGCACTGACAGTTTGCAGTGTTTGTGGCCTTATGTGAAGTATACTAATCTGTTTTATAGATTTGTAACTTGGGTTTGGAACACTAATTCATTCCCCAGATAGCTCTTTAGAACTCACTTAGAACTGCTTGCAGAAGGCAAAAAAACCAAGGAAAAACCTCTTTGTCAGCTGTAAGGATTTATTAGGGAACAGCTGAGTGACTCTGACTAAAATTTGTTCCCCCACCCCAAGTGTTATTGTGATAAAGTATGGAGGACTCATGGAGCTGACTCATCAGGTCTCTTAATCAAATGTGTGCTGTTTCACTACAAAATTGTGTTTAAAGCAAGTTTCATCTTGAAACTCCCGTGCCTGTGACTTGCTGGTCATGTGTAGAGCAGCGGTCTCGCCATTGCAGGGGTTACTCACCCTTTGTCCATGCTATGGAGACATGAACCTATTGCATCAGCAATGCCAGAGCCACGTAGAAGTGGTTGTAGCAAGCGCCTTGTCCCAACCCCAAGGGGTGGTGATCTCCCTAGGGAAGAGCTTGGGCTGTAGGAAGGGCCCGTGAGCATTTCTCTGTACATGGATCTTTCTCCTTTTCTAGAGCCTCTAGGAGCACATACTGAAATGCACAGTGCTATAGATGTACGTATATAGTTTTTTAAGAAAACCTTAAATAACTGTACTGAGGGGAATAAAATTCTGCCATTTTTTCGGAGTGTCTGTGCTGGGTGACTTCGTTTTTACCACGGCAATATGGAGAAGCCTCTCTATTTCTAACTGGTTGGATCCTCCATCTTCCTTGGTGCATACCAGTAAGCGATGGGAAACATCCATGGGAGGTTTCTGGCTGTGGGAAACCTGTGCCAGGACCACCAGGTGGGAAGATGACTGCAGGTGGACACTAGGCCACAGTGCTGCCCCCAGGAAATGCTTGTGGATCTGGATGTGGCCATGCTGGATGCACAGAGGGATGCACACCTGCATCACTGGGTTGGCTTCCAGGTAAGGGTGTGACAGTGGATGAGAAAAGGGAGGTTGGTGCTTCAGGCTTGTCTGCAGATTAACACAATGCTGGTAACATCAAACCCCCAAATCTCATATAATTGATAGAGGTTCTGCGTCGCTCATTTAATGCATCCCCAAAACTGCAACAAGCAACCCTCAGCAGCCTCTTGCTGCCAAACCCAGGCTGGGTTTACATGCGAAGTGCATCAAGTGTAGCTCTTTCCTCTGTGTTCAAGGCTTGCTCTTCAGTGATGCTCAGGTCAAATCCAGCTCTGAGCTCATGCACCGGCTGTCAGGGATGGCGCTGTGCACTGCAGCCGGTACCATTCTCTTGGCTTCTCTCTCCTTGGGGCACCAAGAGCATTTGTGAATGTGTGCCATGCTTGAGCAAGAGCTGCTGTTACCCAGATTGCTCATTTAAAGTACAAGTAGAGCAACATTTCATCTGAGCACCTGAATGCTGTTGTTTTTCATAGCCAGCCCCAGGGTGCTGGGAGCTGTGAGCAGTTCTGTGAGTCTTGCTTGTGCTCTGAAGCAAGAAGCAGTAACTGTCCTTGTGGACAAGCACAAATGCATTTTGGCTGGGGATGGAGCAGGGACCGGGTTGGGATGGAGGCTGAACGTGTCAGCACGGTGTGATGCCAACAGCCAACTGCCGGAGCCCAGTGAGACATCCCTGTGGAAGCCAAGGGGCTGGACCAGAGCAAATGCCAGGCAAAGGGGACATCTGCTGAAAGCCTTGTGCTGGCCTTGCCTTCACCCAGGGCAGGGGCTCGCCTCGGGTCAGCAGCCAGTGCCAATGGGGTGTTCTGCAAGCGTGTCACTGCCTCTGCTGTCCATCTTTTTCTAGGGTTTACAGCACTTAATAGCAGGAGACGATGCTGCAGCAGAACAGAGCAGTGATGCAGCATTAGCAAATGGCTTTTGTCACAGTTCCCATTGCAGGGAGCATTGGAGCCACGCGCCTTCGTGGCTGCCCTCAGTCCACACAGACAACGAGGGGTGCAGGGTTGTTGTGCCAAAGCCCTTCTGTGCGTGGAAGTATATCCTGAAAACGCTGTGATTTCAGTGCCAAAAATTCCATGCACTTGTCACAGGTAACTTCTTTATGCCTATCCCTTCAGAGGAAATCCTGTTGATGCTCTGGTCCCCTTTCCTGAGACCTAGAGCCTCAGTTCATCAAGTTGGTAACTTGGGATTGACAGTGCCTGGGTTGTTCCGCTGCAGCACAAGCCCCGTTGGTCACCTGGAGCCAAGTGAAATGCAGTGAGGGCTGGGGAGGACCCAGGAGCTTTCTCCATCCGCAGCACAGGGGGACCTGGGAGCCCACAGGAGCAGCCACGGGGCCAGAAGCTGTTGAAGACCCAGCACAAAGGGAGCAAGCAGGGCCCTGCTGCAGCCTGTGGCTCAGAGGTTCTTCATGCAGCAAAGCAGCAGCTGACTGCAAGCAATCTATCAGGAGTGAGCAGACACTGCTTATGACAGAGGGAGTCTTAATATTGCATTACTTCATTTATTTAGCACCTCTCCTCTAATGCCCAGGGGAAGGACAATGGGAAAGTGGTGTGGGTTGCTGCGGGCTGGTTGTTTCTTTTCTTCCCTGCACAGAACAAACAGCCTCCAGATGGTTCTTGGCTCAGCGAAGAAATATTGGCTTTACAAAAAGAAGGGATGTCAAGTCATTAAAAGCTGCAGGAAGAGAAGTCTTCTGAGATGGGAGTGGAAATGGGGCCAAGAGAGCTGGAGCCAGAAAGCAGATGTAGGAAGCGCAGGGAGATGGGAGGCAGTTGCACAGTGGATGTGCAGTTAGAAGGCGATTACTGACCAAGTGCTGGTTCATTTCCTGCCGCCAGCCTCTCACGCTGGACACACGCTCAGTCCCTTCTCCGCTGGGCTCTGCTCCTCATCAGCAGCAATTGCTTCCCACTCCGGGCTCCGGAGATGCTCCTGGCGTGGTGGCTCTGAGCCAGCAGAGCCAAAGGGACCCTCTGCTCTGCCTAGGGAGTGGATGAGCCCTCTGCCATGGGGCCACACGCCGCTGGCCCGCAGCCGGGGCTCTCCATCACATCCAGCGCCCGTCTGGCACCGCTCGGCTTTGGCAGCACCAAGCATCTCCTGGGGCATTGACCTGCTGGAAGGCTGCTGGGCTCGGCTGCCAGCAGAGATGTGTGTTTGCAACGGAGAGCTCATTGCCTGTCCCCCGCCGTGTGGCTGGGGGGGCTCTCTGGAAGCTGTTGCAGGATTCAGGTTGTGCCAGCAAACCCAGCGTGGGAGCGCCAGGGCAAGCGGTGCCGGCTGCGCTCGCAGGCAGGGGCTGTGCCACCTCTCAGCTCTCCTCGTCGCTTTTCCTTCCAGGAGTGAGGCTTGACTGTCACCAGCGTCACTGCTCCCACGTCAGGGCTGTGGGGTCGCTCCTCTCCCTGCAGAGAAAATAGAAGGAGAGGCAGGTTGTGAAACGTCAACCCCATCAGGTCTTGGCTCTAAAATCCCTGCTGACTCCTGTGATTTATCACTCACCCAGCTGCTACTTGCAGCTTGGATAAGATAAGCAGGGAGGGGAATATGAATTTTAAAAGCTTGCCTTTAAAGCCCACAGAGTAAGGCCAGGAATCCTCTCCTGGCCGAGGTAACAGGGCAGGAACATCGCTGGTCACAGCTGAAATAAACCAGCCATCCACTCCCGGCTGCCCTAGGAGAGGGTAATTCCGCTGCCTTCTCCTCCCTGATGTGTTCTTTGAGCCATGATGTGAGAAAACCAGTATTTAGGTACAAACCCCCCGCTGCCTTCCTTGTCTTTCCA